TTTTGCAATAAAAAATAAACATTAATTGTCCATAAAAAGGGTCTCTATTTGTTCCTCTTCCAGCTGCTTTAATGATAATGTGAAACACTGTTTCCATGGAGATGCAGGACATATTTATATTTATTGTAGTTAAACATGAAGGAAAAAGTGATGAGAGCAAAAAACACTGAGACGTCTTGGAGTTTCGAGAGTTAACCAGTTCTCTTGTGTTTGTGTTTATATGTTCAATTTGTGTTTATACGTTCTATTTGTGTTTATATTTGGTTGTCAGAAGTCTATTTGTGACATTTTTCTTTTGCTGGAAGCCGAGATGTCCGACTGAAACCTCGCTGTGTGTTTGGAAACGATGGAGGGATTCTGATTCAACAAGTGAAGCAACAAACCCTCAAAGACTCAAAAGACTGTCCGGCTTTGTAGGAAACTTTATTTTCCTGATGGTTTAAATTAAATTTGAATGCATCTTTAATGTCAGTCAGAATGTGGATTTTACATCTCGTCCATTCGCTGCATCCCGATGATGCTGCTAGCGTTAGCATTGAGCTAATGGTGAAGAAGAAACACAAAGAAGAAAACGACGTCGTGTTTTATTTGATTAATAGATAAACTGTATGAGTTTGATTTCTTTCTTAATATTATGTTCTTTTGGTAATTTTTAAAACGTTTTTCTTATGTTTCTTTTATGCAGAGTTTAGTTAGTTGGCAGTGTTTTGTTTATTAGCTTTAGTCAGACGTTTGTACAAATTTTGTTGTATAATTCTTGGTGTGTGTAATGTTTTGTTGTTTGTTTGTTTGTTTGTTTTACAGTAAGCTTTCTTTTTAGTCCTGTTTTTATATCATAAATACTTTGTTCTGTGAAATCTGTAAATACTGGGGTGCAAAATTTTGTTGAAATGATTTATTTAATAAAAAAATAAAAGTTGAAGAAGGAAAAAAAAGCTTTCTGTTGTGATGAAGCTCCACCTGCTTCTCATATTTGAAAACCATTTGCTTAAATCTGCTATTTCCTAATCCTTCATTTCTAAACGATGTTAAGATAAGAAACCCGGTGCTGTCAGGAGGTTCGTTGGGTTTAAGCTCAGCTCAGTGAAACCCCAGCAGCCCCTAGTGGCCGTTGGAGGATCTACAACAGAACACAGGAGGCGGCAGTTTGTTTGTTTTCAGCATCTTTAAATCAGATTAAAACGTGACACAGACTCTTTTACAAAACAATCATTCAACAGCAACAATATACAAGATAATCATTTTAAAAAAACAGAAAAAAACCTCTTTGTTTTTATATTAAAGCACCATTTAAGTCGTCGTTATATTAATTATTAGATTTGGCATAAATATGATGAATGAATACTTACAGTCCGATTTAGCCTGACGGCTAACAGGCACCAATAAACGCTTCAGTACAGCAAAGGTATGAAACAATGAGAAGGACCAAACCGGAGGAAGCTCTGACAGTGTCGTCAGCACAGCGATCAATATGTGTGTGTGTTCAGGCTGCGTTGTTGGTGATGTTGTTATTGATCTCCATCCTGCTGATCAGTTCGGTCACCAGCTGCTGCACCGTGTGGGAACGCAGCCGGCCCACCTCCAGCACGCCCTCATGGTTCACGCTGTCCGAGTCCTCGTAGCTCTTCACCACCTGGTCCATCAATCAATCAATCAGTCAATCAATCAATCAGTCAATCAGTCAATTATGTATCAAACTGAATCAGTCATTTGAAGTCTTCACCACCTGATTGATCAGTCAGTCACTCAATTAGTCAATTATTTAATCAGTCAATCAATCATTTTTATATCACACTGAGTCCTCGTAGCTCTTCACCACCTGATCGATCAATCAATCATTTATGTATCAAACTGAATCAGTCATTGTAACTCTTTACCACTGGATCAATCAATCAATCAATCAATCAATCAATCAATCATTACATTTTACTCAGTGTGATATCTGGTGAGAGTGAATGAGCGTACACTCTCCATCACCCTATTGATTGACTGATTGATCATCAATCAACCGATCAGTCAATGAAACAAACAACCAACAAATCTGACAACCAATCAGCTAGTGAGTCAGGTGATTTACCCAGTCAATCAGTCAATCAGTCAATTAACTATGTACCAGGCTGTGTTGTACTGATCAGTTGATCAGTTGATCAGTTACTATGGAGCGTTGTTACAGGTCACGATCAATGAGTCTATCAACCCTAATCAATAACTGGGCGTATTGATCGGATGTGTGTTACCTTGTTGGTGATCAGAGACAGACCGAAGACTCTCAGGCCGCAGTGCGTCGCCACGACGACCTCGGGAGCCGTGCTCATACCTGAAAGCAGATGGCACCGCCAATCAGAGTATTGATCGAGTGAGGTGATCGGTTATGAACAGTCTGAACCCCTGAAGGCAGATTGTCTTTTAGAAATCAACAAAACGACCATTTATCAACGAGAAACCGGAAAACACAGAAAGCTGTCAGGGTTTCGTCTTTCCAACGGTCCTTGAACGCATCATTAGTGACAAACTCTGTTTCAGCTTAAAATCATTTTGTTCTACACGTTGAAAAATTCACCAACAATTTATTCTAATGAGCTGTTTTGTTTGATTTAAATATTGTTTTTAAAAAAGTGTAATTTTACAGTCAAATCTTGTAAAATCATTTTTTCTATGTGGACATTATATTTTGTCCAGTTTGATCCATTTTATTACATATTTAATACTTTCTATTAAATATTATCTGTACTTAAACAAAACAGGTAAATCAAATTCGTTCTGTCGTACCAACAGCGTCCACGCCGAGTCGATGCAACAGTCGGGCCTCGGCGATGGTTTCAAAGTTGGGCCCGCCCACCATGGCGTACACGCCCTCCTGCATGAGTCCGGCCACGCCCAGCTGCTTGGCGATCTCCATCGCTTGGCAACGCAGGTTTTTGTCGTAGCAGCCTGACATGGCCGGGAAGCGAGGCCCGAACCTGCAAATGATAAATAACCACAAAAACGACACTGTTCACTGAGGTAAAACACCGTCAAAACACAATCACAATAAACAAAGTGAACGACAACAAGGAACAACAACCGGACAAACAACACACGATTAGGGGGCTGCACTATGATGTTGAGGCTACAGTCGGAGTTTTCAGAGTTAAAAAGGTGGTTCTCTTTAACCTGCTGATTCCCCACGGTAACTGATGCTGCACAGTCGGATCACCATGGTAACTGATGCTGCACAGTTGGATCACCACGGTAACTGATGCGGCACAGTTAGCTCACCATGGTAACTGATGCTGCACATTCGAATCACCGTGGTAACTGATGTTGCATTGTTAAATCACCATGGTAACTACTGCTGCATGGTTGGATCACCATGGTAACTGATGCTACACACAGTTGGATCACCATGGTAACTAATGCCACAGTCGGATCACCGTGGTAACTGACTGATGCAAGTTCCTCCTCAACTGAAATTTTTAAGACAGGACTCAAGACCTACATGTTTTTATTGGCTGATGATAGTTCTTAATGTTTGTTATCTTTTACAAACTGATTGCGTTTTGCACTTATTTCTGCCGCTGCGTGGCTGTTAACCCGGGCAGAGCTTTGGTGAACTCCGGTTGTTGTCAAACGTGCTGTATAAGTAAATTCTGGTTTTAGGTTCTGTTGATCCTGCTAACACAAACAAAGCCTGGATATGTTGAATCTACTTCATAGTGCAGACCCTCTGTTCAGGTTCACCGCAGTGGCCTTACTTGTCGTCGTTGGGGCCACACAGCGGGTTCAGACCGACCAATCCGGGGAAGTTGACGTGGTCTTTGATGATCATGATGTCGCCGGGCTGGAGGCCGTCGGCCAATGAGCCGGCGGCGTTTGTCACGATCAGGGTCTCGACGCCCAACAGCTTGAAGACTCGAACCGGAAACGTCGTCTGAGGGATGCAGACGGACAGAAGAGTGATTGATTTCATCGTAGCCTCGGTGGTCTGATAGGACCAGCTTCCTGGTTAGGGTTGTTGTCATGGAAACTGGTTGTCAGGTGATGCTTTTTACTTAAAAATGACCACGTGAACCCAAAAACCTGCCAGTGGGCTTGAAAGGCCTGTTATCTTTTAAAAATACAGCCAAAAGTATGCTTTGTATCAGAGCCATAAACCGTAAAAGCTGAAAAAAATGGCTGATTTTAAACTTCCTGACAGTCCTTGAACTTCTCACCTGTGACGTGAACTTAAATCACTTTATTTCAAATGTCTCAGTTTAAAATTATACAACAAATAAAATGTTTGCTCTAATTAGATTCTGTAAAAAAAAAAAAAAAATCAGCTCCTCTGTGTAACCATGAAGCCATCAGTGACTGAGTTCTGACCAACAGGTAAGTGACAAAAATTCGGAGAGTTTTCAGGTTGAACTGCAGGCGGTGTTTCCACAGAGCGGGGACGAGACAACGAAAGAAACTGAGAGGAAAATAAAGCACAGTGGATCAATAAAATAAATGCAGCACGGCTCAGGAACAGGACACAAAGGAGTAAATTGTCTGCAGATACATCCAGCATGGTGAAACATCTCCCTACAGCTGATGAGCAGAGTGGAGAGAAACAGTTTGTGAAGGCTGTAAACAGAAACAGTTGAAAATCGACAGTATGTGGAGCTTCCACTTCCTGTTTTCTTTAATGGTGGTAACAGCTGTGGTCATGTTGATTCCACGTTTTTTCCATTTTTCTTCAGTAATTTATTCATTTTTCTCTCTCTCAAGTTCTCTCTCCTTCGTTTTATGGTTGTTCTGGTTCTGTCGAGGTGCATACTGGTTTTATACTGCAGTGAAAAAGTGAGGAAGAAATGTGACAAGAGGAATTTATTTTTTTTCACCTCCTCTCCGGCTGTGTCTCCTGACAGTTACATAATCAGCTGGTCTTATTGTAAACGGTTAAATATAAATGGGGTATTTTTTGCCTCTGGGGTGGGATGTGTTCAGCTGTGAGGAAGGTTTTGACGGAGCGCCACCTGCTGGACGGCGGCGCGTCAGGAGGATGTGCGACCGTGTGAGCGGTTGTAACAAACAATGGCAGCATTGAACGGTTCGCAGCTAACAGGCTGCATGTGACTGAACTCATGCCGGACCTGAGCCAGGTTCTCACAAACCAGGACAGGTTCGGTCTCATGCTGCTGATTACGGTCATGTGCGCTCCGCAGCAAGGTTGCGTGACTGAGTCGGTCAAAGCAGCTCAACTGTAACCGGGTGTATACGTAGGCCTCGTTTGTGTTGGTCGCCTGGTTTTATTGGGTTACATAAAACCTGGAAGTGACCCAAAACAAATAAAAGACTTTTCCTCAATGAGAAGTCATGAAGCCACATCTGTGAAGGTTTTGATAAAACCTAATAATATAGTTAACTTTAATTTCAGAGTACAGTTTGTGTATTTTATTTGTTTTCTAGCAGAGTCCCAGATTCATCACCGTAAAGCATCTGGTGAAAGAAAGTCAGAGTTTCATGTCAATTTATCTCAATAACTATTAAGATAAAACTTGATTATTTAAAGAAATTCTAGCTGAGAAAAAAACTACATAAAATGAGAATGTGCTGTGCCTAGTTGAAGCATAATAAGATATTAGTAGGAGGCATTACTGATGATAAATAAGTTAAAATAAGACCAGAATAGAAACAAGTAATATTAGACACTATAATAATAATAATAATAGTAATAATAATAATAATAATAATACATTTATTTTGTGCAGCACTTTTCAAGATACTCAAACAGGGTATAAGATGAAAACAGGAACAAAACAAGTTGAATAAAAAGCAGATAAAAGAAAAAAAGCATAGAAGGCAGGTAAAAAAAGAAAGAAAAGTAAAACAGTCAAACGTTAAAAGTGACCTTAAATGGACCTGAATGTGTGGAGGTCAGGTCATTATAATTAAATATCACACATTAAAGCCAGTTTTAAAAAGCAGCTAGAACTTAGTTTACAACTACAAACTTGATCAGATTGTAATGACGTTAATAGTTTTGGACCATTTATTTAAAATTATATCTGAGGGACAATTACAGGAATGTGTGGTATTTGATAATTTACCTAAATGGCATGAATGAACAACTCTTCATTTTCTTTGCCATCAAACTGCTAAGCTCCACACTTTACATCAACCTGGACGACCTGCACCTTAACTGTACATAAGTGTGAATATATTTTCTTTTAGAGGTTGATATTTGTTTATTTTTTGTACTTTGATATTTATTTATCTATTGCCTTCAATGTATGCTTTATTTTAATTTTAATGTATTTCTATCTTCATTCTTGGGGGGAAACGTGCATGTAACGAACAAGAATTTCCCATCGGTGATTAAAATTTTTTTTTTAAAAAGTATTTCTGATTCTGATTAATAAAAAATCCCAATGAAAGCTGATGTGGAAATAATATATTAATAATACGCTTTTAAGGTAATACAAACTCATTTTTAATAATATTAAAGAGCCTAAAAAATTATTATTTCTACATAAAAAATTGTGCCAGTGTTTTCTGTTCAGTCTCTAAAAACATATTTTAAAAAAGCTAAAACACGTGTAGAGGGCGTTTCATTCTAAACCAAACAGTGAAATCAGATCCTTTTGTCATCAGACAAACGAGCTAAAATCAACATCTGAGCTGAGAATCCACTGATATTTCCATGATAAATGATCCTCAGAGTGAAAGCAAGACGATAAAAACTTCTGCTCTCAATCAATCATTCATCTGTCAATCACAGACACAGAGGGCGTGTCCTTCCTAAAGGGGGCGGGGCCAGCAGGTGCTCACCTGCATTTAAAGCTACAGACACTGAAACAGCCTGTTTAGACTTCAACCAGGAGTCATGTGGAAACCAACCATCTTTGTGTTGAAAGACTCTTTAATTAATCAGATGACCGGTTTGAGGTCTGGATCAGGTTCAGGGAGGATTCTGTGTTCGTACCTTCAGCAGCGAATGTCCTTCGTACATGTGGAAGCGACCCTGCATGCAAACGCACGTTTTCCCCTTCAGCTCCCCGAAGACCAGCCGACCTGCATGACCCTGAACTGCAACACAGAGAAATAAAAAAAAAAAAAGCGTCAGAAGTGATTTGAATTCATTCACCAGCGTTGCTAAGCTAACAGCTCTGGAGCAAACAGTTCCCCCTGCTGCAGGTTTTTATTAATGCTAGTTCAGGTTCATCTTTTAGTGACGCCTGTAGCGTTGCATGAATGAAGTCAGATTTAACCTGTTAGTCGCTGCTCGTTAGCTGACGAACAAACCGGCTGCTTGATGAGCTGAAGAGACTAAAACAACAGCCCAAAACACATTCAACACCCAATATTAAGTTAGTTTAACTTTGTCTTAATTAGTTAATTAATTAAACAATGGCCTCCGACTGCTAATGAGGATCTTAGAGACCTTTCACGTGAATCAACTCTTTGAAACCCAAAACCTGTTTGAAATACGTGTTGTCTTAAAAAAGAAATTAAGCAACATTTCTTCACCAGAAACTGTAAAAACAGAAACAAAAAAATCACTGAAATTTAAATTTTCTGAAATTAAAGTTGAACCACTCGACTGTGACAAAACTGCTTAAATCTTAAAATTTTGTCATTTCATCAGAATCAGTTTATTCGAAGTGTCTCATTTTAGAATTTGCCAAAAAAATACCGTTAGCGCTAACCTGAATCTGTAAAAAAAAAAAAAAAAAAAAGTTCAACACTATTACTGCCTCAAACATTCAGGGATTCTCACTTTAACTGCAGACTGTGTTTACAGCCAGCAGGGAGGAGACGAGTGGAAACTCAAGCATCATCTGTGGACAGTTTCTGGCTCTGATATATGACAGATGGTGTAATTTAGGCTTCAGACTTAATATAATTCACATGTAAATCAATGTGTCAGTACTTAAAAACACAACATTTCATGGAGCTGTTTGTGAGTCAGTAGCAAACACATTCAGTTGTATTAACATTAAAGTGCAGCTGTGTGTCAGGAACAACTACCCGTGCTCTGAGGGAACCCCGGGATGTCGGAATAAGCGAAGGAGTCTTGACACTTGAGGGTGTCGGCGAGCATGCCCAGTCCGGACCCGCAGATGATGGCCACCTGGGGGCGGTGCTTCGTCTGAGACATCAACCAATCGGCCGTCTTCTGGTATTCGTCATGACTGAAGACACGATG